TCCCCCTCCTCTCTGCCTGCCTCTCTGCCTACTTGTGATTTCTGTCTGTCAAATAAATAAATAAAATCTTTAAAAAAAAAAGAAAAAAAGAGAGTTACTTCAGGTCTACGCCCTGACCTGAGCAGCCAGTTCAGACCTCAGTTTTGCAAATCAGAGAATTATTCACATGGGAATTTCCACAGCTCTTAAGACTGGAAGGAAGGCTGCCAACTCAGGAAGAAGGGAGAGTTGTCACTGAAACAACCCCTAAGAGCTTAGGGAAATCAAGATGCCAATCTTCTTATTCTATTGATGTCTGGAGGATTGCTCACACCAGGAAAAAACCCACAGTAAGTCAGTTTCTGAGGCATGCCTGGTGATGTCCTGGACAGAGGAGAGGGGCCCAAATGACAGACTCATTCTAGCATCTGCCGTGCTTTGCTACTCACCCCTGGATGGCAGAGACCCTGTAGCGGATGAGGACAAAAAGTCCACAAACAGAGGAGGGGTTGCCCTGTGCCCACTCAGGATGGAAACCCACTAGAAGAGAGCGTTCTGGAGTATTAACCAAGGATCCTCTTCTGGAGACAGGGATCCGACCCTACCTCTGCCACTTGCCAGATTAATAAATTGTATCAATGTTCTTAAGTTCTCTGAATCTCCTCATATGTAAAATGGAAATAGTACTTCCCTTTCTCATAAGACTGTAATGAGAAATAAGATCAACTATCATAAAGTCTAGTGCTAAAAAGCAAAATTATCAACAAACATAGTGGGCACAAGTCAAAATTCTTGTTTTAACTCATTACTGAGAGAGTCGGCATAGATTTTTTAAAGCTGATTTGAAGAGTACTCAAGGATCTATATGGTCAGGAAAGGAATGCCCAAGTAAGACTCTTAAGTGAGAGAAAAGACTCGACTTCCAACGGGGTGAAAACACCATGACAGTTAGAGGCTTAACATCTCTACAAGCCTATGAAATCCTATCACCACATCAAGCTGTACCCTTTCTGACTCGTTATTCAAATACACTGTGCCAACCGTGTTACATTTCCCAAAAGAACAAGAAGTCACGAGGACTTGCTTCTATTCTAGACAGACTGTAGCATGAGATCAAAGATGTAGGCAACCACCATTTTGTCTTCTTCTGGGTTCAAGATGATTATTTTTCCTTTCATACTGACACCCAGCAGCAACCCAGTAATTGTTGGTAGCTTTCCCTGCCTTTTTCAGCCCATTTGAATTTAGGCTGCATTCCCAGTTCAGGGGACCAGAGAATAGGCTGGTAGATAGACCCGGCCTGACTGATTGTGGCTCCCAAGTGGAGAGACACATGGGAAGCCTCTTCCATTGGAATAAGCTCTTTTGTTCAAATGCTTATACCAACTGCCCAACTTCACATCCTCTCCATGCACTTTAGGACTTTGGTCACAAACATGAGGAACTTGGCTGAAGTCAGGAGCCTGGGTGGAGAAGCAGATTTTAGACAGGTCATCCTTACAGCCCCGGAAATCTCAGCGGCCGGATCTGCCTCAATTGGTGAGCCAAGTTCTCCCTGGTGGACTCAAACGTTGCATGAGGTTTCCTGCTGAACAACTTTTTTCTCAACTTCCCGCTGCCTTGTTCTTCTTTTGTAGCTGGGGAAACAGGAAACCAAATCACCTTGCTCTGGGCTACAAGCCCTGTCTGACTCTGTGGTTCCTGTAATGGGCACACCTGCCCAGTGGTTCCTGTAATGGGCACAGTCTGTTTATAAGTTACAAGCTTCCAAGGGCTACCTCCCTCATCCCCACCTCTTTCTCCAGGCTGCCAGTGCCAGCTGAGCCACCTCCCTTGCCCAACCATGAGTTTGGGTATCAACTGTTGACAGCCCCATGTCAATGCAATTCTTCACAGCCAGTGGACCATCATTTATAGTGAAACTCCAGAGGGCACCCTGAGCCACCTTCTCCATGGTGTCTCCAAGCTGGCTCAAAGAAAGTAGACTCATTGGGTTTTCCAATAAAGACAAACAATTAATAATGGTAAATCTCTGCCCAAAGGACCCACTAATAGCAAGCCCAAAAGTGCATTTTCAAGGAGAATCAAAGGCACTGGGGTACACGACTCCACCCTGACTCAAGAAACACACACGCACACCACCACCATCACTGGATAACTGAGAGACAAACTGGATTGCTCTCCCCTTCGGAGCACTCTCCCATGACATTTCCTAAATGCTGAGTGAGGCCTGGGTATGGCTTGTTGAATCTGTAAACCTTTCTCATCCTCTTCTACCTGGACCACATTTGGGCCAGCAGCTCACCTTTAAAGTACCCCTCAGAACCAGCATCATCTCCGTTTCTGCAATGCAGACAGTGTGTTCACGCTCCCAACAAATGGGAGCACTTGCTTTGGGGGCGGATAAAGCTGTCCTTCAGGAAAATTGAGAAGGCAGCAATCTGGTCCCTGAGCTTTCCACTTGCCCAGCCTAAGCCCATCTCCATGTTTGATGGTAGATTCCCCCATCCCATTCTAGGTCCCAATCTCTTAGTTTTTTAAATTATGACACACAATGTTACGTTAGTTTCACATGTACAGCATGGAGATTCAACATGTTATGTTGTGCTCAGAAGTGTAGCTGCCTCAGGCTCCTGGGGTGCTCAAATCATTAAGCATCTGCCTTCGGCTCAGGTCATGATCCTGGAGTCCCCGGATCAAGCCTGCATTGGGCTCCCTGCTCAGTAGAGAACCTGCTTCTCCCTCTGACCCTCACCCTGCTTATGTTTGCTCGTTCTCGCACTCACTCGCTCTCCCAAATAAATAAATAAAATCTCTTAAAAGAAAAAAGAAGTGAGGCTACCAGTTGTCACCATATGCTGCTATTCCAGTACCATTACTATATCCCTCTGCTGTGACGTTTATTCTGATGACTTCTTCATTCCGTAACTAGAAGCCTGTTTCTCCCACTCCCCTTTACCCATTTTGTCCACCCCCCAACCCTGTTCCTCTCTAGCAGCCATCAGTTTGCTCTTGGTATTTATGGGTCTATTTCTGCTTTCTGTTTGTTCATTTGTTTTGTTTTTAGATGAAATCGGATGGTATTCGTCTATGTCTGACTTATACCATTCAGCATAACACCCGTTGTTGCAAACGTCAAGATCACATTGATTTCATGGCTGAGTGGTCTTCCGTTGTATACATAGACCACGTCTTCTTTACCTGTTCATCTATCAGTGGACCCTTGGGCTGCTCCCATTTCTTGGCCACTATAAATAATGGTGTAGTAAACACAGGGGTGCATGTATCTTTCTGAATTAGTGTTTCAGTTGTCTTTGGATAACTACTCAGTAGTGGAATTACTGGATCATAAGGTATTTTTATTTTTTATTTTAGAGGAACCTCCATATTGTTTTCCACAGTGGCTGCACCACTTTGCAGTCCCACCAACAACAGTAAACAAGGGCTCCTTAGGCCCCAATCTTAATTATTTGCTGGCTGCCCAAAAATTTCTCCAATATGTTAGCTGATAATAAAACTGACTAGTAACTAAAGCTTTGGTTGATGGATAAGGGTTTAAGCCATTATCTTTTCCTACTTGATTGCTCTGTTATGTGATTAAAGTCTACTACAAACAAAAAGCCCAATGATCTACAGTGAGTAATCTTGACCACTGGAAGCCAGTCAATCTGAGTGGCATCTTGTTGGGGGAGGGGGTACTTGTTCCCCCTGAAATCTTGGGGGAATTAGCCACCTCCTCTTCTCCCCTTGGGCACAGAGTACTTCTGACTTCTCCAAAGAACCCCTTCCCCACAGCTGATCTCAGGCTTCTGGGGTCAGAGGCACACAATCACCCCAGGGAGGGCTCAAGCGTCCCTGCCATGTTTATGCAACAATTCAGTGACTCCCGCATGCACAGGGACCCGCTTTCAGCTCCAGCTCCGTTTCAGAGATGCGCAATAGACCAAGTTAAGAACTCTGGTTTACAGATTCTGGTGACAGCTCCCGAGCCCCATCTCCATCACTAGCACCTCTACCCCATCACCTAAGTGGGCATAACAGAAAATTTCCCAAGGCATAGTAGCCTGGAAACTCAGCTTGGGGGTGGATACTGGTGAGAGGTGCCCCTTTCATCGCTGGCCTTCCCACTCTACCAGAGTGAAGATCAGGGGGTGATCATGGATAAGCAGAGGATTCACCACCCAGGGTAGCATTTCAGTGCCCTCTTCTGTGACTTGAGTGACCCATTTGCCTATGCCTTTCTTATTTCATCACATTGGGTGGCTGAATCCAGAACGAGACGGAAAGCTTCCAAAATCTCAGGAGAAATTACAAGTGTGGGACCTGGGGGGCTGTTAGGATTACTTAATGCTGGACTCTGGACACCCACCTGTGGCCTCACCACACACAGAATCCATCTCTCTCCCTCACACTTGCACATCTACTTAGTTATCTCCCTAACTTCCCGAGAGTCACATATAAGACATTTTGCTCTAAACTAAACTTTAGTGCCCAGTGTGAGGGGTACCTAAGTGACTCAGTCCGTCAAGCATCTGACTCTTGGTTTTGGCTCAGGTCATGATCTCCAAATCATGACGTCAAGCCCCACGTAGGGCTCCACACTCGGCACCTGGAATGTGCTTGAGACTCTCCTCCTGTCCCTCAGCCCATCCCACTGTGTGCTTTCTCTCTCTCTCTAAAATTTAAAAAAAAAAAAAATCTTTTTAAAAAAAAAGGAAGAAAGCAATGTGAGTTTTCCCTACACCACTCTGTTCCCATATCTCTCATTTGGGAACAAGCAGGAAAATCATCGACTACAGTGTCCTGGGTGTTTTCAAACTCTTAAGTCCTAGAACCGAGCCTCCATGTGATGGGACTGGAAGAGAAGGGACTAGTTTGAGGAGAAGGTGGGGAGGAAACCAGACGAGTTTGCCAGCTGGAGCAAGGATAATGGAGGTTTTCCTTTCTCAGGGCTTTCCTCCCTCCACCCCCTGGAAACAACATTGGCAAGATAAAGGCAAGACAGCAAACAAGGCCTGAGGTATCAACAACGACTTTATTATTTGGCAGGGATAGCCCCAGGGCCTAGGGCTCTGCTACTCCCGGTGAATGTCTTCGTGGCTGGCCACGCCCACCTTTATCACGAGTATGAGGAACTCCTCGAAGTTAATTGCGCCATCACTATTGATATCCAACTCTTTGAACCAGGTATCTGCATCCTTTTTCTGTCAAGATGAAGGAGAAAGTAGCGGAGTGTGAAGACCTCGGAAGAGCCTAGGCGGGGCTGCCTACACAGGGTGGCCCTGGGGACCAGGGGCCTGGGACTTGTCAGCCAGAGAACCCTGCCCACACCCAGCCCCTCCTCACCTTCAGGTACCGAGGGCATTCTGTCTCTAACAATTTCTTCAAGTCATCCCTGTAGAGGGCATGGTAGTTCCCCTTCTCCAGGGAGTACTTGTGGTAAACGTCAATGAGGCAGTTCATGGCACTCTCCAGTTCTGTCAGCATGGTGCCTAAGAGTCTGCCCCACCTGGAACAGGGAGCACATTGGGAATCCCAAGATGGGGACAGTGCCTCTGCCCCCAGCAGAGTGAAGACTGAAGGGAAACTCAATACCCCAAGTAAGGGCCTTTTCCTGGCCTGCACCATTCAAATAACTAAACCCAGTGGGTGGCTGTGGCTGTGATGGGAAGGGGTATGGGAGGGGGAGGGTACACACACACACACACACACACACACACACACACACACACGGTGCCTGCCTTCTCTCCCTGCGTCCTCAACCAACCAACAGTGCCAGAGGACCTGGCTCTTTTATCCCTGTCTCACTGACATCCTCCAGGAGCTCTGGGTCTTGCTCCAGACCTCCCTGAGCTTTCTCTCCCCTTCTCTGCTCCACGTCTGGCCCTCCCCGTGGGGGCCCAGCCCCAAAGCATGGGGCAGATGAAGCAGTCTTACTTACCAGGTCTCCCCGAAACTGAGTTGGCAGAAGATGTGCAGGGCTCAGTGTCCGCTCCCTTTTATAACAGGCCGGGCTTTGGCCCGCTGCCAGGACTCTGGGCCATGCCGAGAGAGCCCCTCCCTTCCCAAGTTGCCACAGCCTCTGGTTTCCCAACCAGGTGAATGGGGAAATCACTGCACAGAGCGAAAATTTCTGATGGAACATGGGGGAGCAGGAAAAGCGGAAAGAGGAAGGCATCTGCCAGGCAGTAGTGCCCAGCAGGAGAAACCAGGAAGAGGCCACAGGGAAGACTGCTTTGGAGAGCCACTGGCATCATCTGGCTTGGCCAGCCAGGATGCCCACTCTTGAGCCCTCCTTACTGTTGCTGCTACTGACCCCATGTATGGCTGTCTGTCATATCTGAAATGGAGCGGGAGCAGAAAGCATCATTTTGAGCATTTGTGTAAATAAGCACTTTTCTGCACAGCTTTCGTCAGATTCCTGGAAGGGTGCAAAGACCCCTAAAAGGTTAAGAAGACTTGTACTAGCTGCTGGATTTTAGTAGAGAAAGCTGGCCTGTTTCTACAATTGCTTTTGTTTGTGTGGTTGGACTCCATAGGATGTGTGCTGGTCTATCAGGCTCTCCTGCCGCCCACACCCCTTCCCAGCTCTCTTGCTCTGGAAGCTGGGGGTGTATGGTACCCCGGGACACGGAGGCTGGGTTGGGGGTCCCTGTGCATGCAGGAGGCACTGAGTTGCTGCATAAACATGGCAGGGACCCTTGAGCCCTCCCTGGGGTGATTGTGTGCCTCTGACCCCAGAAGCCTGGGCTGAAGAGGAACCCAAGTCTATGGGGATCAGCTGGGGGGAAGGGGTTCTTTGGAGAAGTCAAAAGTACTCTGTGCCCAAGGGAAGAAGAGGAGTTGGCCAATTCCACCAGGATTTCAGGAGGAACAAGTCCCCCAACAAGATGCCACTCATATTGACTGGCTTCCAGTGCTCAAGTCTGTGGTGCATCTCTCTTCGTTACAAAACACAGAGAGCCTCATAACATGCCTATCAGGAAGGCAGTGCACAGAACCCACCCAGTCTGCAGCCAGGGAGGCTGACGCCCAAGAAGGTGAAGCAGTTCACCCAGAGCTTCCCAGTGCACATGTGTCAGGGCACCAAGCATCATGAGCCAGAACATGACCCAACAAGAACATGACTCTGCCGAGAAAGCTCTCCTCTCTTCCTTCCTGCATTCAGCAGATAATTAACCTGTGCCTCTCCAGGACGTAGGCCATCATCGCCTCCTGGAGGAAGTAGATGGGATTAGCTTCCCTCTCCTCCATGTTTCCACAGCCCTTCAGGTTTCATTGTATCATTAACTTTATAGCTGTGTGACTTTGGGCCAATCACCCTCTCTGTGCCTTAGTTACCACAATCATTACAAAGAGATTAAAAATAGAGTCTACCTGCAACCTACAGAATGGGAGAAGATATTTGTAAATCATACATCTGATAATGGGTTAGTATCCAGAACATATAAAGAACACCTACGACTCAACCACAAAATTACCCCAATTGAAAAATGGGCAAAGGACTTGAATAGACATTTCAACAAAGAGGACCTGCAAATAAGTACATGAAAAGATGCTCCACATCTCTAATCATTAACGAAATCAAATCAAAACCACAATGAGATATCACCTCAGACTCATGCGATTGCCTGCTATCGACAAAAACAGAATGACAAGTGCTGGGGGGTTGCAGAAATTGGGGCCCTTGTACACTGTTGGTGGGAATGTAAAATGGTGCCACTGCTGTGGAAAACAGTGTGGCGGTTCCTCAAAAAGTTAGAAACAGAATTACTATATGACCCAGTCATTCCCCTTCTGGGTCTACATCCACAATAATTGACAGCAGGGCCTCAAAGAGATTCATACATCCGTGTTCACAGCAGCATTATTCACAGAAGATGAAATGGAGAAACCAACCAAGTGTCCATCCAAGGATGAAGGAATAAACGAAATGCGGCATATTCACATAATGGAATATTATCTACCTCAAAGAGGAAGGAAGCTCGGACACTTGCTACAACACGGATGAACCTTGAGGCCATCACGCTACATGAAATAGACCCGTCACAAAAAGACAAGTATGCTTTAATGCCACTTACATGACATCCCTAGGGTAGCAAATTCGTAGAGACAGAGAGTAGAATGGTGGGTGTTAGGGCCTGAAGGAGGGATAATGGAGACTTAGTGCCTCTAGGGTGTCAGTTGCAAGATGAAAGCGCTCTGGAGATTGGTTGCACAACAACATGAACATACTTAACACAACTGAACACTTAGGTGGTAAATCTTATATTATACATATTTTGCAACAATTAAACATTTAAAACTTTTTGGGAAGCCCGAGTGGCTCAGTGGGTTAAGCTGCTGCCTTCGGCTCAGGTCATGATCCTAGGGTCCTGGGATGGAGTCCCGCATCAGGCTCCTTGCTCGGTGGGGAGCCTGCTTCTCTCTCTGCCTCTGCCTGCCACTCTGCCTGCTTGTGCACACACTCTCTCTCTCTCTCTCTCTCTGACAAAAAAAAATAATACTTTAAAAAAAATTTTTTTTAATTTTTTAAATGCTTCCTCCTGAAAAATAAATGGAATCTCCTTATATGTTATTGTAAGGATTAACAATAGATGAAAAATATTGATGATGGAGTGCCTGGGTGGCTCAGTGGGTTAAAGCCTCTGCCTTCAGCTCAGGTCATGATCCCAGGGTCCTGGGATCCAGGCCCACATCGGTCTCTCTGCTCAGCAGGGAGTCTGCTTCCCTCCCCACCCCACAAAGCCTGCCTCTCTGCCTACTTGTAATCTCTGTCTGTCAAATAAACAAATAAAATCTTAAAAAAAAATGATTTGTGAACTTTTCTTATTATGTATTATACTTGGATAAAAAGTGTCCCCCAAAAATGTGTGAAGTACTTGGGGCAGTGCAGTGCCAGTGAGGTGAGCGCTGGGTGGGCATGTCCTCTGGCAACTGTCCAGCCGGACTGTGAGCCCTCAAGGACCCAGACCAGACCTCCCGTCTCTGTCTCCCCAGGACCCAGCACAGTGCCTGGCAAACACAGTAACAGCAGCAACAATCAATGATAAGAACAAGTAATAGCAAAATAACACTGGTTGGGCTTCCACCATGTTCCAGGAACTGTTGTAAGCGCTGTTTCTACGTCAGCCCATTTAATACGCTCTGTAAACTATGAGGTAGGTACTATCATAATCCCCATTTTACAGACGAGGAACTGAGGCCCACAGAGAGACACAACAAAGTGGCTTTTCTGAGGCTCTCCTTAGGATTAGTTCATGAGCCTGGGTTGGGGCTCATGCTGACCTGTCTTGTGGGGGTGAGGATGAGATTGATGTAGATGATGTCATCCTAGACCCCTGACCCTTCAAGAGATGCCTCCCTTGGGACACGTGGTTCATTCAGTCAGTGAAGCATCTGCTTTCAGCTCAGGTCATGATCCCAGGATCTTGAGATCGCGCCCCGCAACGGGCCCCCTGCTTAGCAGGGAGCCTGCTTCTCCCTCTCCCTCTGCTGCTCCCCCTGCTTGTGCTCTCTCTCCCTCTCTCTGACAAATCTTTTTTATAAAGAGAGAAAGAGATATCTCCCTAGAAGCTAGTCCCCTGAGAACAGTCCCAGTGGAGACAGTTTTCTTTATCCAGAAATTAAGAACACAAGACCCCAGGTCCAGTGGCGGAGACCCAAGGCAGACAGAAGCCATGACCTCCTCCCAGCATCACGTGCTTATCAGTAGAACTTGCTGACCAGCAAGACCCTGAAAGTTGCCCCGGAGATGTTCCCCCTGGGCCACCGGGTAGAGCAGGGGGCCGGCTGAGTGACCTTGCAGAAGATGGCATCAAGAATTGGGTAAATGCTTCAGGGGAAAAGGCAGAGCCTGTAATCAGACCGACGGACATGGGGCAACCCAGGGGGACGGAACCTGTTCCTACCTACAGGAAAGAGTCCAGTCCTGGGTATGTGTCCCAATAGCCCAACCAACCCTGTGCCCAAGGCTGAGGAAATGAGGACACAGGGTTAGAGCCGGTGCAGAAACCGCTGCCCCCACCCCGGGAAAGGGCAGGAGATCTAGGCTGAGCCGCCCCTTTGCAAGCAGAGGTCTGTGGAACCCAGCAGTCAGGTGAGACAGGCCAGAAGGCTCTCCCCTGGGCCTGGGCCAAGTGGGCAGCGTGGCTCACCCAGCCGTCTGCACCTCTGGTCGTGACTCAGAAGCCCATGGGAGGCAGCACAGGGCCCAAACCCCAGGTACAGCAGGACACGCACCTCCGAGGGGCAGTGCAGACCCCAGGGAGCGTGCAGGAAGGTCGGGAGGGGGACAGCTGGGGCCCAGCCGAGTCCTGAGCGTCGGCACTGGCAGACAGCAAGTGTGCAAAGGATATCAGTGGCAGGCCCGGCCCAGGAGCCGTGAGGCAACACGGTGCTTCAGAGCTTGACTGGCCAGAAACAAAGGCCCCGGTTCAGCCCACAGAGCACTGCCCTGCTGTGGCACACAGACCCAGCTCGGGGAGGGAACCCAACCACGTCCTGTAAATGACACCAGCCCCCCGTATCTGGCACAGGGGCAATGGTGACTGCCCATCATTCTTGGAAAACTCCTCATTGCTGTCACAGTACTCTGAGCACAGGGATTCCCAGACCACCCTCTGAGAAGAAACCTGCCCAGGGCCTAAAGGCAGAGCAGACTGACCCAGAGAGATTTTGCATCAGATCCCTGGATGCCCAGGGAGAGAGAGAAAAATAAACAGAAAGATGGGCAGGGGCAGGTCGCTGTTGGGAGGGGTCAGAGACCATAGGAGGACTTGGATGGTGAGTCACAATAGCCCCGAGTGGAATAATGCCCACATCAGCCTTTATTAGTAAAACCCAGACCCAACCCTTCCCTCCTCCAGGAAGACTTCCCTGATTGACAGTAGCCTAGGTTCCACTCACGTCTCTTCACATTACAGGCTGGCGTGTTGCCCTTTGCCCTAGTCCCTGTCTCTGACTCAGCACGTTCGAAACCCACCTCACAATCTTTGCTCTCAGAGCATCTCCAATGCCACCCAGCCCATGCCAATTACCCACATCATCCTCCGGTCCTGCCTGGCACCTTCGCAGGCCCACGCCACTCCTCCTCTGCACCCATCCTACCCTGATTCCTTGGGACTCCTCCAGAGCAAGGAGACCCTCCCAGAGAGCCTTGTACAGTGTGCCTTTGCCCTCCTGGCTCCTGTCCCATTGTGTATGAGAGGTCAGAACAGTACCAGTGAGGCCTGTCAGAGAGCCGGTTCCCCAAGAGAACAGAGTCCCCCCCACTCAGACTGGAGCTCTGGAGGCTGGGGGCTGTCTCCCCCCTCAGACAGGGGCTGGAGGCGATGACCCCCAAGGGAGCAGCCAACCTCCTCTCTGGACCCACAGCAGACACCCAGAACTATGACCAAGGAATTCCCAGCATGTTTGTGGGACGGCTTTATTCTCTTCCCTCACAGCTGCACATTGCACACACGTGTGCACAGGGGCGTGCCCGTTCAGGCACAGGCCCACAAGCGGGACAGAGCTCTGCAGTGGCTCCGGCTCCAACTCCTGGGCAGCACCTGCGGGCTGGGCGGGCGGGCGCATCTCTATCAGTGTGGGCCGGGCAGACGGGTGCGTCTCTATCTGGTGCAGACTGGGCTGGCGCCTCTCTATCTAGTGCCGCCTGGGCAGGCGCCTCTCTACCTAGTGCAGGCTGTGCTGGGCGCAGTAGCAGGTGCACAGCCGCCGGTGGTACAGCAGGTGGTAGTCCGTCAGCAGCCGGCCCAGGACAAACAGGAACTCGTCGAAGCAGATCTGCTTGTCCTTGTTCTTGTCCGCAGCCCGGAACAACTCCGAGAGGTAGTAGGGCTCCTTCCGGCCCTGGGGAGGGGCACGGAGGTCAACGCCTGCCTGGCGCTCCCCCCCACCCGCTCCACAGCCATTGGCCGTGCCCCCACCATCCTGCAGGGCCCAGCCGCCCCCCACCCCACCCCACCCCCCTCAGGTGGAGGCCAGGACAGCACGTGGGGCATCATCACACTCCGACGAGCAGAGGGGATAGGGGCCTCTGCAGCTCCACGTGGGGCTGTGTGGGCGGACTGTGGGGCCTGGGCACCACTGGCCCGCTGCTCGGCCATTGCGGCGCTGCGCTGAGTGGCCTCGGGCCTCCTGACGCCCCCGACCACCAGTGGTGGCTGCTTAAGCCTGTCTTCCCAGCTCCCCTGGAAGCTGCCCAGCAGCGATAGCCTGGCCCAGGGGCTTCAGGATGGAAGGCAGTGCCCCCTCCTACACGCAGGGAGCTCCCCAGGGCACGGCCCACCTGCCCCTCATGTCTGCATCTCCAGGACTATTGCAGGGAAACCAAGGAGGGGAATCAGATGTCTGCATGCTGTGGCACCTGCCCAGGAATTGTTTATGACACCGAGCCTGTGTCACCTGTGGAAAGTGCTGCATGAGGGAAAGACAAAGTCCTGGGTCCTGGGGCTGGCCAGCACGTCCCAGAGTGGGCGGGCTGGAGGGCTGTGGGTCGGGAATGCTAGTGGGGAGAAGCAAAAGCACTTGAGATGGAAGGGACAGCTGGAAGGAAGGTGGGGTTCAGCAGGCAGCCCAGGGAGGAGAAGGAGCCCCAGGCAGGGCCTCAGAGCTGGTTCCGGCAGGATTTGGCCGGTGGGTGTGGGGACCCAGAGTGGAGTCCTCTGGAAGCCTCTGGGGAACGGAGTTGTTGCTGGGGGGGCCTGGAGTGGGGCCCTACCCCGTGGGCAGGTTTGCATGTCTATTCCCCCCACCGCCCACCACCATCTAACTCACCTAATCTTATCTCCTCTGCTAAACTGGTTGAACTGAGCCCCAGGAGCTTCCTGCATGGGTGGGCTCTCCCTGGCTCCCCTCAGCTCAGCGCCCCCACCACCTCAGGCCCAGGCTGCTGTCTGCCCCGTGCCCTGTGCTTCTGTCTGTCCCTGAAGGCCCTGTTCCCTGGGCGGGGCTGGGAGCCCCAGGTGAGAGGGTCTGGCCGTCCTTGCCCAGCCCCACAGTATAGGTAGTTGGCCCTGGAAAGAAAGTTACCCTAGTCCCCTTTGTGACCCTCACAACACTACTCCAATAAACCCAGGGCAAGACCCTCCTCTGATGTTTCCCAGAGGTAGGTAAGGGAACATGCCAAGGAGGCAGTGCTCCTTCTGGAAGGTGGTGGCCTCCAGTCAGGGCCCGGACCTGAAGTCCTCTGGAGATGACGGTCCAGAGACCTCTGAGGCACGACACCGAGGGCAGAGGGCAGCAACCCGGACATCCCTGCCAATCTTGCAGCCCCCAAGGCGCCTGATAATACAGGACCTGCTCGGGGAGAAGACGCGCAGGCCTGACAAGGTTTCCGAGTTCCCGCGCTGATCCAAGAGCCTCTGCTGGCCCTTCGGACAGCAGCTAGAAGGAAACACTACGTTTCCTCCCCTACCTGGCTTCTGCCCAAACTGTCCTCACCCAGGCACGGTGACGGGGAGGTTTGTACTAGTCCCAGGAGAGGGGGCCTGGGGCTAAAAGGGCAGGTTTGGGGCAGGATCGCTGACTGAATGGGGCTGAGGCCAGACGGGAGACTTCGGACCTGTTCTCTCAGGAAACTGGATGAGCAGAGGGATAAGCAGGTTGGAGTCGGGACTAAGTCTCACGGACCGACCGCATCTGGGCTGCTGTGGGGCCGGCAGGGAGTTTCAGGAGAGGGAGGAGGAGAAATAAAGCTGGGCCACATCCACCCTCCCTCCGCCAGGGACCCTGCCCTCTCAACTCCCTCACCTCTCCTCACCTAAGGAGGAAATCTCCTGGGAGATGGCTCCCCATACCTCTACCCTCTCCACCAGCTTCCACCCCACCACCCACCCTACACTTCATGCCCACCTGACCCCAGACCCCACCCACCAGGCTCTCCATGAAGTGGGGTACATTGTCCATAAGCAGAGCCTTCAGCTCCTCCAAGGACAGGGTCTCCACATCCCCCTCCCGGGCGGCGTACTGATGGTAGCAGGCGATGATCTGGAAGAGGGATTCCTCCATGGGCGTGTGCATCACGGCGGCTGGGCCCCGGCGGGGACAGGAAGTGGCTCTGGAGATGAGATGTGTCCCTGGAGCGCTGGGGACAGTGGTGGAGCTGAAGGGAGAGCAGCACCTTGGCCAGGCCAGCCCAGGGAAGATGGGTGCTTCCTCTCGCTCTGCCCGCCTTCCCGCGCCGGGTCCCAGGTGCCCTCCCTGCACTCCCTCCGCCCCCCTGCAAACCCTGCAAGCACGCAGGACAGGGCCCTGTCCCTCCCGGGACACCGCGGGCTGTGCTCTCGGCCCCTAGACCCTACTCTCAACGTAACAGTCACCAGAAATCAAGAAGGAGAAGAATGCGGACTCCGTGGTGCAGGACACAAATGGAGTCCCCCATAGTGACCTCAGGAGGTGTGACCCATCCGGAGCCAGATTCAAACCCGCTAGAGGACCACAATTACCCTCTGGGACACCCATGCTGGGAACGCGTTCCCAAAACAGGCCAGCCGCCCATCCCTGCTTCCTGGGACCGGCCCCCCACCTCCACCGCTCTCGGAAGTGCTGACCTGGGCTGAGGGGACAGGGCTCTCCGAATCCAGTGCCGGCCTGTGACCCGTCCTAGCGATGCCGCGGTGCTCAGCAGGAGCCGCTGCGGCAAGCGGGGGCCCAGCCAGCAGGTGCTACCTCCTGCCCATCCAGGCTGCCCGCGTCCTGACCCTTCGGGTTCTCCAGCAGCTCCCCGAGCCCTGACCGCATTCCTGAGATGACGTCACAAGACACTTGCTTCCTGCGATTAACTCGACCAGTTTCAGGGACCCGCCTTCCCTCCGAGCCTGACCTGAGGCGTCCCCGAACCGCGGGGCGCCTCGCTGCCCACGTCCGCCTCCGAGAGGGTCCCCCGGGCTCCGGGGCGTGGGCGGGGGGACACACGCAGCCGGTCCTCCCGCGCCTTCCCTCAGCGGCCGCGCCCGGCCTCCGGTCCCCACGCGCGGTCGTCCGTCCCGCAGCCACTTCCGGAGCCCCGCAGTGCGCGGGGGCCTCGTCCGGGGCCGGGGGGACGGCGTGGGGCCAGCCCACGGCACGATGCCCCGCGAGCGCCACCAGCCCGGAGGCGGGACCGGGGCGCCCGGGAAGGAACCGCTCCAGCCCGGAGAGGAGCCGACGAAGGTCTCCTCAGGGAGACGCGTCTGAGCCGGACTCGACGGAAGGGCTCCCGGCAGGGGGAGGCGCGGCGGAGGCCGCAGACCTGTGTGCCCCCCGGCCGCACGTCACCCCTGCACAGCAGGAAGCTCGGAGAGGGTGTTCCGCGGCCGCTGCGGCTGCGGGAGGTGGGGGAGAAGGGGCGCGACCGGCTTCGCGGCGGGAAAACCGCCGCCCGCGGGGCGGAAGTGACCCTTGCGTTGCGCGCCCTGCTCCGGGCGCCGCCGCCCACGCGTCTCCCGGAAGGGGGCGCCAGAGGACAGGGGACGGCGCGCGGGCGGCCTGAGGGCGGGAGGTCGGCGGGAGAGACTTGGTCCTCTCCAGCCCGCAGGGGGCGCCCTCCTCCGCCCGACGCCGCGACTGCGCCGGCGGCGCGCGTTTCCGCTCCCAGAGTGGAGCCTCGTTTCCAAAACGTGAAACAACTGGGCAGGGCCAACCTGCAGTCACAGATTCTACCTATTTACTGGGCGGAGGGACAGAGAGGACAAGCAGGCGGCAGAGAGAGGGAGACCAGGCTCTCGGCTGAGCGGGGAGCCCGATGCGGGGCTCGATCCCAGGACCCCGGCGTCGTGACCTGAGCCGAAGGCAGAGGCTTCGCCACCCAGGCGCCCCAGTCGCAGATATTTTCATCGAACACCTTTAATTTAGCCGTAACTGTCCTGGGAATTTATCCCAAGAAAGCAATTAAACAGGCATTAAAAAGCAATACGGGGCGCCTGGGGGGCTCGGCTGGTGGCACCACCGCCTTCGGCTCAGGGCGTGATCCTGGAGTCCCGCAATCCAGTCCCGCATCGGGCTCCCAGCTCTGCGGGAGTTTGCTTCTCCCTCTGACCTTCTCCCCTCTCATCTCGCTCTCGCTCTCTCAAATAAATAAATGAAATCTTAAAAAAAAAAAAAAAAAAAGCAATACGTAGTAAAATGTTCACCACTGCATTTTCTGTAGCCGAGAAACAAAAATAAAAACAAAAACCTTGAAACCACCTAAGTAACAGATTCGGCATATCAAGACCTCCTCGGACCATCACGGGGTAGTGATCTGGCTGTCACTCAGAAGGAACTCCACTTCTAACCCATAGGTTGTTTGGGGGGAGGAGGTCATACTGCTCCTCGCTTCACCCTGACGTTTCCTCAACCAGGACAAAACGAGACCCTACACCACCCCAATGCACAGTGATGACCTCCTTCCTCAACTCTGCTATAACCACCCTTTTCACCTAATGCTAGACTGTGGGCGTCTTCCCACCCACCTAATCAAGCTTGGCCTGATTTCTAAGGAATGCCTAGTGATTACTTGTTTGCATGTATCAAAATATGTTTGATTAATCTATTATCCATAGACATTTAAATTAGTTTAAATTTATACATTTCAACCAACTCTTCCTTAATATTGATATTTCTTAAGAATTTTGCCACGTGTGTTAGGTGCTGGAGAGAAGGGGGATAGAAATGGACTTACATCCCCTTCCCCAGCCAGAGCTGTCCCTGGTGTGCCCTGAACCCCAACCCCGGAACAGAGCTGCCATCCACCTCCCAAATGCAAGCCCCTGAATGCCCAGCTCCATAGCTGCCCCCCACACAGGTGCCCCTGCTGTCTACTACTGCCATATGCAGACCCATGAGAGACCCTCTTAGCCATGACTTCCTTCTGCGGGGGGGAAGAACAGGGATACCCCAACAAATTTCCCCACCCTAATATAAAAGTCAATATGTGCCTTTACATATACATTAACCTGTATATGTCCATATATTTACCTTTACCTGTGAGACATGCTTTCCTGTGCTTGCACATTGCTGTTTAGTGCGTTTTCATTTCAATTTTAAGAACTATCTTAAAGCATTTCTTGTAAGTCTAGTGATGAGCTCCCTGTTTTGTCTAGAAAGCAAAAGAGGAAAAACCAGGACCTATGGCTTCATGGGTGAGTGCTACCAAGCATTCAAAGAAGAATTAATGCCAATGCTTCTTAAACTCTTCCAAAAAAATAGAAGGAACACTTCCAAACTCATTTAATGAGACCAACATCACCAGATACCAAAACTAGGCACAGACACTACAAAGAGGGCAGGTGGGTGGCTCAGTTGGTTAAACTACTGCCTTCAGCTCAGGTCATGATCCTGGTGTCAGATCAAGTCCCGCAATGGGCTCCCTGCTCCATGGGGAGTCTGCTTCTCCCTCCGACCTCCCCTCTCATGCTCTCTCTCTCACTCTGTCTCTCTGTCTCTCAAATAAGTAGATAAAATCTTAAAAAAAAAAAAAAGACACTACAAAGAAAGAACTACAGGCCAACATCCTTGATGAGCATACATGCAAAAATGCTTAACAAAATCCTAGCAAAGTGAGCTCAGCAGCACATTAAAAGGTTCATGCTCCATGACTAAGTGCGGTTTACCCCAGCAATTCAAGGGTAGTTCAGCATTCAGCATATGTAAAGTGAAGTTATAGCACGTCAACATAATGAAAAAAAAAATACATAATTATCTGAGTAGATGCAGAAAAGGCAGTTGACAAAGTTTAACATCCTTTCACAATTAAAACTCAACAAAATAGGTACAGAAGGACCTTAACACCACATATGAAAAACTTACAGGTAACTTCATAATCAATGGTGGAAACAAACTAAACGTTTCCTTCCAGGATCTAGCACAAGACAAAGACGTCTACTCTTGCCACTTCTTTTAAACATGATACTGAAAGTCCTGGTACAGAAACTAGACAAGAAAAAGAAAGAAAGGCATCCATATAGAAGAAGAAATAAAATTATCTCTATTTGCAGATGACATGATCATACATAGAAAACTCTTAAAAACTAAACAATAATAAACCTGTTATAAATAATAAACAAATTCAATAAGGTTGTGGGATACAAAGTAAACATACAAAATCAATGTATTTTACACAAACAACAAACTATCCAAAAAAGAAATATTTTTAAAAAGCAGTCTCACTGGGACGCCTGGGTGGCTCAGTTGGTTAAGCCGCTGCCTTCAGCTCAGGTGATGATCCCAGAGTCCAGGGATCAAGTCCCGCATCCGGCTACTTGCTCAGCAGGGAGGCTGCTTCTCTCGCTGCCTCTGCCTGCCTCTCTGCCTGCTTGTGTGCACTCTCTCTCTGGCAAATAAATAAAAAAATCTTAAAAAAAAAAAGCAATCTCATTCACAATAACAAGAAAAAGAACAAAATGCATAGGAAATAACTTACTCAAAATGTTGAAAGAACTTCACATGAAAATATTGATGAAGAGAATTTAAAAAGACATAGACAAATAGGAAAACATCCTATGTCCATAGATTGGAAGAATTAATATTGTTAAAGTGTCCATACTGCCCAGAGTTATCTACAGATTCAATGCAATCCTTATCAAAATCCCAACGGCATTTCTTATGGAAATAGAAAACAGTCCTAAAATTCATATGGATCCACAAAAGACTCAGAATAACCTAAGCAATTGTGGACAAAAAGAACAACGTAAGGGTATCACACTTGCTGATTTCACAATTCATTACAAAACTATGGTAAACAACAGTATGGTATTGGCATAAAAACAGAAATGAAGACCAATAGAACAAACTAGAGAACCCAGAAATAAGTCCACACGTAGGTCATGATTTTTGACAAGAATGCTGAAATGAGGAAAAGGTAGTCTCCTCAGTAAATAGTGTTGAGAAAACTGGATGCAGAAGAATGCGGAAGAACGAAGTTGGACCCTGATCTCACATCATACACAAAAATCAACTCAAAATGGAGTAAAGACTTGAATAAAAGACCTGAAACCATAAAATTACTAGGGAAGAACATAGGAAAGAGCTTCTTGACATTGGTCTGGGCAATAATTTTTTTGATGTGGAGACCAAAATCACAGCCAACAAAAGCAAAAATAGACAAATGGGATTACATTAAAGTAGAAGCTCTGCACAGCGGGGCGCCTGGGTGGCTCAGTGGGTTAAGCCGCTGCCTTCGGCTCAGGTCATGATCTCAGAGTCCTGGGATCGAGCCCCGCGTCGGGCTCTCTGCTCGGCAGGGAGCCTGCTTCCTCCTCTCTCTCTGCCTGCCTCTCTCCCTACTTGTGATCTCTCTGTCAATAAATAAATAAAATCTTAAAAAAA